ATTGAATCTTTTCTTTGCAGGCCATGTCCTGGTGCTTTGCTTCCTATGCTTTTGTCACAGATTGAAACGAGCGGATAACTCTATTATCGCTGTTAATTTTTCATCATTACTCATAGTAACAGCTTTGTAAGCTTAATGACTTTTTGTTATTCGTGAAGTTTGGAGATTGTTCCTTTTTTCCCTCACGTTTCTGTGAGATGATGTTCATTAAACAGATTTTTTGAACGATGCACCACACTAAGCTTTCTAACAGTGAACTCACTTGACCTTTGTTTTTCATATTTACACATAATATAATCTCATCTAGATAAGTCCCTCTCTCTGGAGCTGCAGTAGAATTTAAACCAGATAACAACCATGTGCAAGTATGATACGCCTCATCAACTGTGTTCATTGGAGGAAATAAATATCATAGACTGAAATGAGTGACCGGTTCAGGACCAGTTCTTGGTGAGAGGCCATAAACGCCCTCTGTAACCTTAGTTGAGTCACATAAATTCAAAGAAAAAGCAAAGTAGGTTTAGGATACGTGAGATATGCTGTTAGTGCTTTAATTTGATTCTAACTGACATTTTAATATAGTTTTGATCGAGTAGATCACCCAGAAAATTTTAATTGTTGCCATTTACTCACCCTCGTGTCATCACAAAACTGCATGACCCACAGAACTCGTACAATATTCTTTATTATATTTTCTGAAGCCATATAATAGGTTTTTGTGAGGAATTGACTGGTGTTAAATCATCCTATTAACAGATAAGAGCTACAGCAAACTAATTTTGGTCATTTTCCCACAAAATGTGGTCATAACATGAGGAGTTTTTGAGGTGGGTGACAAAAAAAATGTCTATAAATTTTGGGGCAAACAAAATTCTTAAATATTTCAGGTATATGCTGTAAAATATATATCTGGCTATATACGGACATTTCATGTAATTTTATAATACACTTGTAAAATTTATATTTGATTCATATTTGACACTTCAAATTTGATGGCTTTTCATTTACAGTACTATTTTATATTATAGGACCTATTACACATTTTTATATTATTGTTATTACAATTATTACAGCAGGTCGTTGAGTTTTTTCTGTACAGTGGTCTGCTCGCAACAACGCCGGAATACAGACGAATACAGAACAATTCTGTTAGGGCCTATATTTTTTTTCTTCTTTTTTTTCTTATGTAACGTGAAATGTAACGTAAGAACTGGGAACGTATAAGAACTGGTTCTCGATTCCTAATTGTAAATTGCTTTAAAACAGTGATAGATGCCTGTCAATTTGCAGAATTGAATTCGCTGGTCTGATTTTACACACAGTATAATGAAACCTGGTGAAAGTGCTATTTTTCTTACAATACGCATTTTGCTGACGAGGTAACACGGTGTAAAGTGCTTCCTCGTTTGGAAACTGATTGATGCTCCTCACTGATGTGTCTGACTGTCGTCAAGCCAGATAACTTGCCTTATGTTGACTTAATCCGTTCAGATTTGAAACACCAGATATCTAATGGCTCCATGGGTTCATTAATCAAGCCATTATTTCCATTGTTCACTGCTGTCTGTAAAAAGAACAGACTTCTTTGTGATCTTCTCTTAAACTGACCCTGCCCTCTTCTGTCCATGTGTACTGTAGGACTGGACACTGAATGTGGTTATTCAAGTATCTTTTTCATTGTCTTTCTATCGATATATGTTTGATTCTATCTATTTTTAGTAATTTATTATCAAGCACCAATTGTGAAAAGAAAATCGCTCCTATTGGCCTTTCCCGGGTAATTGCTTCTATCTACTGGCTAAACAGCGGTAGTGCTATGAGTAGAACGTGTCACAGTTATATCATTTAAAACGATGTTAAACGAAGTGAAATGTCTCTAGCTGAAAGTCACACATTCAGAACACTGCTGTAGGTGTATGACATTAATTTGGATATTAAATTAACCACAAAAATAATAAATTTCCTACCTGAAAGCCAAAAAATGTAAGAATGACAAACTAAGAAAATATCATAGATGAAGCCATTTTTGTAAGGAAAATACAACATATGCACATATTCTATGGGATATACATGCAAAATGTTGTACATATACATATTGTACATATTCATAAAGACCTCTTATGGTGTATTTAGGTCTACACAGCCTGTTTCACATAGGCCTATGTAACGGAGGCCAGCGGTAGGTGCTGTGCAGGTAAACCTCACTCCCTGATGTCAAGAGACGCTCTAGCGACTGACGCTAATGGCTGCAGTCTTTAGCCTCCTCGTTAGTGCGTTCACCTCCCATGCCGGAGACCCGGGTTCGAGACCCACTCAAAACAAGAACGAGGTGTGGCGGTGAGGACCCGGGAGAGAGGGGTTACATTGGTGCCGTGACCCGGATGGGAGTGAGGGTTAGGGGGGGTGAGTGTAACGGAGCACAGCGGTAGGTGCTGTGCAGGTAAACCTCACTCCCCTGATCCCAATAGATGCACTAGCGACTGACGCTAGTGGCTGCAGTTTTTAGCCTCCTTGTTAGTGCGTCCGCCTCCCATGCCGGAGACCCAGGTTCGAGACCCACTCGGAGCGAGAACGAGGTGTGGCGGAGAGGACCCGGGTGAGAGGGGTTACACCTACTAACAACTGAAACACGGTCAGCTGAGGGAAACATTTATTGCTGATGATGAGTCACAAAAGCCTGTTACATCAACTCTGTTTTGTGTTACCATTGTTACATGAGCAGTTTCAGTTACAAGTTTGGAGCATATGCTCCCAAAACACCCTTTGAAAATGAAATGTGTTTAGTTCTTTTGTTGTTATTGTTCGTCATGTAATGATGCATTTCTCCTGTTGTCCAGTAGAGGGAGCCAGAGGCACAGATGAGTTTTTGCATGTCTTTGTCTCTGCTCTAGATGGTTCTCACTTCAAAACACTGAAGATTCTAGAATATATCTAGTGGGCAGTGCTTATACTGCTTTATGGGTTATTCAGATTATGAGAAGTTATAAATAGCTGTGACAATGGACAGAAAATACAGTCTCATTCAATCCGTTTGATTACATCTCTCACAGATAGGTGGAGCTTATCATGTTATGATGATGTCATTGCATTCAGAGAGCTCTGGCCTCAGTAACCACAGCATGCTTTGTCATACGGATACAATAGGTTTATGGGGTGACTATTTGTATTCCTCTTTTGGTCCTGGGATGGGTTGATTTAATTGCAAAGAAGCTAGGCGGTATCCGATAAAAAGCACTGGGCCAGTATCAATCAGAAATATCATAACAAATATCACTGTTTGAGGGTTTGTAATGATGCAGATGCACTGACATGAATGTTGTCTTGTTTATCTCATTAAGCGACACTGACCGCTACTCTAGTCTTTCCACAGACCTGTGTGGTGTTATGCAGAAATACCCGGGACATTTTCTATTCAGAGTCTTTCTCAGTGTGACCTACTTTAAATACAGCTTCAATAAAATTTGCACAAATATCAGCTGGACTGACGCCTCTGCAGTTTTTAGGTGTTCATCTGTATATGTGTTACTGTAACAATATTTACTTCACCCCTTCACATTGATATGTGTATAATAAATGTTATTCTGCAGTGAATATTTGATTTACGTTTTTGGTTGTTGCTTAAAATTTAATGAAGGCTTCTCGCGGTTCACTGGATAGAGATTTTTTGGTCGTATAATATGTCTAGATGATATCTGATGTACTGTAAAATGCTGGTGGTTGTGTGGTCATAAAGTACATTGTGTAGACTGTTTGTCATTGTATGAGTTATGTGTGTTGACATCCGGATGATCAGTGTTCTTTCACAGTAGCAGGTGCTGGATGTAGTGCCTCATGAACTGTGCAGTCATACATGTTCCAGTGATCAGGTCTTCTTCTGCTTGCAGGTTAATATTTCATCATGAACTATTGAATTTCTTCAAGTAATCTCTGAACGGCCTTCTACTATATCTAATAAGTCCAGCACAGGCTCATTGGAAAAACATGCCTCTACCCACATTTTTGCAAAACTCCACAGTTTCCAGCTGAAATGGAACATTAGAGGCAGTAAAACACCAACAAATTGTATTGCTTTTCACACAAACTATAAAGATAGATTATTTAAAGACTTACTTTTGTGCAGTGCCTTGCACAATACTATGCTATGACCTCAAAACACTTTTACTATGTTGAGTTGTAAAGTAATACATTGTGACATTTGCATCACATTATCAGCTCCATGTATGACTTTTCTGATATAGTAAACTTGCTTGGTAGTTCACCTGGTACAGCATTGCATTTGCAGTGTTACGCTAAAAAAGATCAAAATTTGTAGTAGCAAGCAAAAATGGTATGGTTGCTTCAGCAAAAGCATTTTTATGTTTGTTTGTTTTTATTATCGGTTAGATTTAGAGCTGAGTTTAGTGTAGGTGGTACATTAATTTTAAACATGATAGATCATTAAGCTTTTAGAACCATTCACCGGGCATTTCATTTCCGAACTGCAATACGTACAACAGCCAGCATATGTTTTGAGAGTTTTTTTTTTTCCTTTACTGGACCAATACTGTGCAATTATTTGAAGCTGAATTATTGGAGTTCTTTTTTTATAACAAACTATTTAATATCAGCTATTTCAGATAAATCTGCATCTTGTTGGCATGTTAGACACAATAGATTTTCATGCATTTAGACTTTCTCGTCCTGTCTATGTGGGAGGTTTTTGGCTAGAATTAGATGAAAAGTGGACCAGACTTTATGCTCATTGTCAGAAACCTGGATAATAATGTCAGAATTAAGCAGCCAAATCTTTCTCACAGATTTTTTTCTCTGGCTTTTATATCCTATTAAAAGCCTAACAGGGAATCTTTCTTTAGAAACTTGTTAATGTGCTGAATAGATGTAATTAGGGATTTAATTATTTAAAACACATTTGCATGCAAGCTACATGTAATCACTCTGTTATATCTCTTCGCAAGCGGCCTGCTCTAAATCCGTCTTTTTAAGAAACAGATGGAGGAAAATGTGACGGAGATGACATTTGCCCAGCAACACACTGGAATTCTGCTCTTAAATGCTGGACCGACTGAGATACACAGTTAATGTGCTTTTACTTGGCGATGGCTGCTGTGTTTCCACTCTCTTCCGCTATTCTCTGGCTGCATAGCTCCTCCTCATTCATCCAATCAGAAAAATGCATCCTACCTCCTGTCACATCATTAATATTCAGCGACTGCAGTCCCCCATCATGGGCTCAGGTGGTGCACAGAACAGAGTGGGAACATGTGAACAGTGGGAATACATAACACACACCGCTCGCATCCATAAAATGACACTATCAACAGCACTAAGGCTTCAATCTTGATTCAAATGCTTTTATTTGTCTTAGAATGAGGTGTAAAGCAATGAGTCTCATTGCAGAATGAGTTTCCATTTCATTTCTGTTGTGAGGGTAAATCGGTTCTTCTGAGCCTCCACTAAGCTTGCACTGCAAAGAATAATTTTTGTCTGTAGTTTTTCCAGTAAATATATCTAAACATCCATTAAACAAGATTTATTTGAGAAGCAAATGAAGACTTTTTACAGATAATATATCATATCTTTTGTTTTTCATATATATTATATATATAATATCATATATTTTTGTTTTCCATTGCCATTTTTTTTCTTGTTGTAAGCCTAAATAAAAAAAATGAATTTATGTTTTACAAACGTGTTGCGATGCAATAAAGCGACAACTGCTAAAATGCCATCTGTTGAAGTTGACCACAATGAGGGCACTGCAAAAAATTATATTTAATATGTTTGTAATGAGTATTTTTTTAATGTGTTCTCTAGTAAATATTTCTAGTAAATAAAATTGTTTTTGCCTATTTTAAGTTAAGTACTTTAAGTATAAACAAGTTAAAAAAAGAAAAAAATTACCAGTGTAAAATGAAAATAAAAGTATTTATTGTAATTGTATGGAAAAGAGCAGCATGAACATTCTTCAAAACATCTTCTTTTGTGTTCTTCAAAATAAAAAAATAAAAAAGAAAGTCACAGGTTTGAAATGACATGAGGGTGAATAAATAGTGTTCACATTTTCATTTTTGAGTGAACTATCCTTTGAAAATAATAAAAACTAATTTTATTCAAAATATATTCTCTAAAAACAAGTCTTAATATCAAACACAGTTTTGCGTCTCAAGTAAATTTATCTTGTTTTCAGGCTATTTGAACTGGGAAACAAAACCAATACTGATGATCATTTCCACATAAAACAATTTATTGTGCTCCACGGGAAAGCTCAAGACAGCAATGACGGTTCAATACAGACGTCCTCTTTCCACACACACGCGCGTGTGTGTACGCACGCATGTGAGGGCGTGTTAATCCGCACACAGAACCCATCAGCATCAACCCCCCCCCCATTCCTCCCCTCACTTAGACACTTTCAGCTGGTGGTGAAGGATACGCGCGTAAGATTCTCCATCCCAGCTGCCCTCCACCCATTCTCTTTCTCTCCTCCCATCCCTCTCTCTGCTGTGCTCCGTCCCAGCTAACTACACGGTGGGGATGGGTTCAGGTAGGGCCAGAAGGACCTGGGAAAAAAAGCACCAAGAGGAAAGCACCATCTCCTTGAAATCTTCATCTCCTCTCACACAAATGCAGTTTCCCAGCCTCAGCTCTTCGTTGGCTGCTCACAGGAACACATAGACCCTACAGAGGGTGCCTGGGAGAGATTTTTGGTCTTTGTGCTTTAGAGGGATTCTTCACTTCACTCTATGAAAGGATATCTCACTTGAACTTTGCATCATGGCACACGCAGCATCCCAGCTGAAGAAAAAAGCAGATTTGGAACTTATAGCTGCTGAGGAAGAAAGAGAGAAAGAGAGGAAGAAAAAGCCCAGGAAAAGGTCCCGGGATCCAAAGAAAAAGGTACCAATATGTCATGGCTCTGAGGGTGGCATGTTTTGAAGCTGGCATGCAGGTTGGGTGGGATGTCTGGAAGTATCTTAAAGATCTGGGATGTCACTTTGAGGGCCATTACAGTTCAAGAATTGTTTTTGGAAATAAAAATAAGGCTTTCAAGTGACTGGCTGGTAGACTGTAGTAATGCTGCTGTGTCCTGTGTGGATAGGAAACGCTTATTTATAGGGCTAACGTGCCTCACAAAGAAGGCTCACACTAAGAATGCAGAATACACACTTGAACATGCTTACAGCATTTTTTAGGGCAGATTTTTACCTTTTTTACTGTTAACATTTCTCACTCTTATTTATATATCAAAAAATGCCTTAAAAATATCATAGTTGTTTATTGAACTTTAACAGGTTTGAAACGCCAACCCATGTTTTTTAATGCCATAAAATAAGAGGTTTTTGTAGATTGAAGTGGCGGTTGTCTTTTTTTTAGATGCGTGTGGGTGAGTGTGTTTTTGTCTGATCCATGGTGGGATTCTGATGCGTGACTGGTGTCATTTTTATCACGGGCTATGCATCCAGAGCCCCAGGGGCTCACGAACCTTCTCCCACGGGCTTTATGAAAGATTACCCCCCACCCCCGTCCCAACCAGCTTCAATCCCATTACAAACCCACATCAACCCATCCCATTAGTCACAGTTCATCGTTCAGCATCTCGACCTATCTACATATGCATCTGCTTCTGTCTTAGCTGCTCTTTATAGCAAAGAATGGATGAAAATGGTCAGAAATACTTGAATATTTGGCATCCCGTTCTTTTGTTTATGAGTTGTGGAAACCACTGTGTACATTCTGTTGCATTCTTGTTTGATTGTTGGTTATGTTTTACAAGAAAATACTATCTTGGTCTTTCTAAATTTCACATTTAATTTGATTTGTTACTTGACATTTCATTGTAATTATTTGTGAAATTTACTAGCAGTTTCTGAGTGAAAATTGTTTTAAAGGAAATCCTACGCCAGATTTATTTCAGTATGTAGAGTTGTTCATGCTCATTTCTTAAAAGACACTGGACGTCAATATTAATACATTCAAATAATAGTGGTTCAAATAACAGCAATATACTACTAAAGATGACAAATGGTTTTAATATTGAATATTTATCAGTGTATCACCTTTAAATTCTAGCTAATTCTGTATGAAGCTTGCCAGACAACATCACACACATATAGTGTTAACAATCCAGGTTCGTTGTGTCGTGATTGAAAGCCTCCCTTCACCCTTTTCAAGGACTGAGAGCTTATGACCTCTGTCATTCATGTGAACGTGTGGCTGAAAATCTACACACTAGAACTTTATGCAAAATATTGACTCAGAAGAGCTGAATCACATTCTGACAGCTCACAAGGTCACATCTCATTACAAACTGTTGCGGATGTTGATAACTTGAATAACGTACATGGAAAAATATTATTATTGACTCAGGTCATAGTAAAATGTACTTGTAGGTTTATTCTAGTACATTAGATGAGATTTGCAAGTAGGACAGAGGGGTCCAAAAGTTTTTTTTTTAATTTTTTTTATTAGGATTTTGCAAAATGTTAAATAATTATGTAAAGCAAATTTTTTTTTTTTTACATTTTATTTTATTAAATGAAATGAAATGAAAAAGCCCAACTGCTTCAGTTTTAAATATAAATACATTTTTCTAAATACAAATACATTATAAATACATTATAATTATTCATTATAAATACATAGTACGTACACACGGAACAGGACTGTAAAATAAAGTGCTACCAAATTTCATTTCTTTTAAATATTTATTTCAGTATTTCATTTATTGAATATTTCACTTAATACGTTTATTTTACATTAACTTAAATATTGAGTAAATAATTGCTCCGTTTGTGACATAAACAATAACCTTCATACAAAAGGTCAGATTTTCTTACTTTTATGAAAGCTCTTGTTATGCTGATAATATAAATTGTAATGACAGATTTTGTTTTAAATTAGTGAAGAATACATTTGAACAAAATCATTTGAAACAATTTTCACATTTAGAAATTGCTAGTAAATTTTACAAATAATTACAACGAAATGGAAAGTAATACATTAAATTAAATGTGAAATTTTGAAGAAGGCTGAAACGGCATTTTCTTGTAAAATGTCTTGTAAAATGTCTCAGACTTTTGGAGCCCAGTGTAAGAAACGTCAATCATCACATCTGCTGAAGTCACTTGACTGAGTGTTTTAAAGGGGTCATATGATGTTGCTAAAAATAACATTATTTTGTGTATTTGTGTAATGAAATGTGTTTATGCGGTTTAAGGTTCAAAAACACCTTATTTTCCACATACTGTACATTATTGTTGCTCCTCTATGCCCCGCCTTTCTGAAACACGTAAATTTTTACAAAGCTCATCGTTCTGAAAAGCGAGGTGTGCTCTGATTGGCCAGCTATCCAGTGTGTTGTGATTGGCCGAATACTTCAAGTGTGTGACGGAAATGTTATACCTCTTACCATACTGTGATGCCGTGTCCCGGCGCGACGAGACAAAACCAATATCAAAGTTACGCCTTCTTTCTTTGCGTGAACATTTGGGCGGTGTTATGCAAATCTTCCCACACAGTGACGTAGACATGTGGGGGCGTGTTAGAATGAGGCGTTTTAGGAGGGTGTGGACGAGTCTTAACTTTTATTAAGAATATCTCTTTGGGTTTGAGACTTTAGTCTTTGCAACTTTAGAGATCTTGTCTATTCACGAACAGCTTGTAATACTCCAAAGAGAAAGGAAAACTTGAAATCGCATCATATGACCCCTTTAAACAACAGTGAAACGCTTCCAGTTGACCAGAAATAAATCTAATATGGTATTCATACTTGTAGAATGTGCTTATGAACGTCTCAGCACTTTTATGTGCAGTTGTGCTCAGCTTTCATCACAGATTTGTGAGGTTTGGCTGACACTTTTCAGAGCTGTTTTTCAGACTCAAATTTGGAGTGAACCGCTCTGTGGTTCTATAATGGGTGCTGACGGTAAGCGTTCGCTCAGGGTATCAATACCTAAGAGGAATCCCAGTATAGCTGTGGTCAAGGAGAGATGCTGCCGGGTTATTGATTGTGTTGAGATGAGTAGTGTTCGTAAAGGAGAACAGTGAGCCAAAGCACTAGTTCTGGACATGTTTATTAGCCTGTTGGGCTAATCAGACACATTGATTAGTGGCCATCTTGATTTCACTACTAACATTTACAGACTACATTTGTACATTTTCTAAGGAAAATGTGAGTTACATACACAAAAACACACTGCATGAGTGGTTGCCAGGTTGTTGCTATGCAGTTGTTTATTCTGCATAGTAGCAAGATGTTCTGGTCTTATAGATACATTACCAGTCAAAATGAAGATTTTTGGATGTTTTTGAAAGAAGTCTCCTGTGGTCACCAAGGCTGCATTTATGTTATCAAAAATACAGTAAAAATGGTAATAACAATATTTTTTAAAATAGCAGCATATTAGAATGATTTCTGAAGGATCATGTGACACTGAAGATGACTGTACTTTTCATCAAATAAATGGTGAGCATAAGAAACTTCTTGCAATTGTCTTACAATCTAACCTGTTGGACTGCTATTGTTTTGTAAGATGCAGGACACACTGTCCTCGTGTGCTTCAGGATTGTACCTGTCCTAGGATGCTGACATTACTGGAGATGATGAGGAGTTTATGTACGTACGCTTTTGGCAGTGTATCAGGTGTTGTGCTCAATGCACGTTTACGGGCACGCAGGCAAACCAAAAAGGAAAAATCCATACTCCAGTCTGATGCCTCCTGGCTGTTGGCAGCCCTTTGCTTTCATCCTCTGCTTGAACAGACGAAAACAAACACTTAGGCAGCTGGATGACTGCCCGCTTGTGGCATAGTCACGTTTGACTTTACTCATTGCTTCACTGTGCATTTGAAGCCCACCTTACAGAAACATCTTGTTTTCAGACACTTCTCCCTCCTCCCAGGCAAGTAGACAAATAATACACTCTTAAAAATAAAGGTTCTTTGTTGGCATTTGTGGGTTCTATGAAGAACCTTTACCATCCATGGAACCTTTCCATTCCACAAAAGTTTTTTTAATAGTTCTTAAGATTATTCAAATGTTCACTATACTAAGAAAAAATCTAAACAAAATGTAAATAAATATGAATCTTTTTAATGATTTCTATAAAAAAAAGACTTAAAAATTACATCTGTCCCTCAGTTTCACTCTGTGTACCTAATAAGATTGATTGATTGATTTACTGATTGATTGATTGATTTATGTTATGTTAAGGTAGCATGCTTATGAAGTGTGAAGAAAACCAGCAAAAATCAAGGTAAATATCACAAATTCGAATATTTTAATAAATTTCCAATAATTTAATTAATTTCCAATTAGGCTGTAATTTTGTAAAATTATTCAAAAATATTATATTTTAATTGCTAGCCTTTTATGCACTCAAATTAATATTTAATAGTATAATATATATATTAAATTTCATATCCAAATCCAGGTGTGAAAAACTTCTTGCATCTTTCCCAAAAAGACTCATGGCTGTATTAGATCAAAAGGGTGCTTAATTTCAATATTGTAAACCATTAAATACATTTAATTTTAGTAATAGTTTAATTGTAATGCTACTTTTAACAATAGTTTATTTTAATTTAATAATAGTTTAATTTTAACAATAATATTCTAGCAACACAATTATTACAAAAAAAAATGTTTAAAATGGCATTCCCACTGCTGAATGCTATTACTCTCAACTTATAATTTGAGATGTGTGGAAATAACACTGTGGTAGTTTCTTTATTACTTTCAGAAAAAAAAAAAATGTCTTGCCCCATAGACTTCCAATGCAAGTGCTTTACTGAAAACACAATTTTTGTTTGCTTTTAAAAACTGAGGAGCAAATCAAAATTATACTAATGTAACACTTTGTTAAGCCTCATAATGGATTGCTTCAATTTACATAGAGACTGAGTGAGTGCTTATTTGAATCAGTAGATTTTGCCACCAGCACAAAGACATTAACCCCTAGCTGTTAATTAATTTTAGTTGGAGTGTCCTTTACCCCACCCCGTCTCGTTTTCTTCCACCCCCGTCTTTACCTCTTTATCTTTTTTAATGTGGATGGGTTGAGTTCAATTGCTTCCTGCCATGCATTACTAAATGCACATGTTTTAAAGGGGGATGGGGTTTGGACCCCAGATATACACACATGCTGCCACCAGCAGCATCATCACCCCCATCTTTTTGAGCAAACATGCCAAGCTGTTTCATTAATCCCCCGTCACTTGTTAAGAGCCAACCTCATTTTTCACAGTTTCCACCCTCTTTTGTTTGAGGAGAGAGCACCAGTCTCCCCCAGGACCTCTGCCCCCCTCTCCTCTTTTCCCCCTGGAGCTTATGGGATACTTTGTCACCAGATACCGATTCGGTTTTTTTTTTTTTCTTTCTAATCCATTCAATCTGTAATTGGTGTCAGAAAGGTCATTAAATATTTCTCTCTAAAATTCAATCCTAAATACAAAAGGAGACATTTTGAAAGGTGTTCATGCTGCTGTTTTACATACAACGAAAGTGGAAAATAGTGGCTTTTTAATATTGCATGGC